TATTCATGGACAGAAATTGGAGTTTTGTCTGATTGCAAGATCGGGTATCAGCCACATTCAACCACCTCCACATTTTTGCATTCTCAGTTACTTGGGCATGGGCGGACGTGGTGTGTCTTCCTGTGCAGTTTGGCCCAAGTTAACTTCCTGACGACTTGATGGGCGTCAAAAGATGTCAAACCTGGAATGGTTGTTGACATTTGGTGACAATCAAATGAGATCTCCATTGAGGGATGAAAACCCCTTTCTGGCTGATGCGCCGATATTATACGATATTATACGTACGATTTGTATCGATTTGTATGATTATCCTTGAAATGAGAACCATTCCCTGTCATCATTTGCATTCTCACCCTGGATATTTAGGTGTCAACGTTCATTCCATCCACACCATTTGCGTATCCAACCGTCTCCTTGCGCATTGGGCCGCATGGCGCGCCTCGGGCCGCAGAGCAGCAACGGAAATCATTTAGTAGTGGTACTAGTGGTTGATACGTCATGTAATTTTATGTACAAACTGGATAGTTTGTAACTTTGTTACCGAACAAAGAATAGCACCAAGACGTTGTTTTGTGAAACGACCAGTTCCCAGAAAGAGTGGATTCTTGGGTCTTTCATGGTGTTTCTGCTCCCGATTCATGACACTTTGACAGCACAGCCTATGTCAATCTGTCACGATATGTCAAGATGGAAGACAGGATGGAAGCAGAATGCCCCAGACGACTCGAGGGCCCTTTGGGACTCCATTCCTCACTCTGGTTGAAATCTGGCAGTGAAATAGAAACACCTGATAAAACATAAAACAGTTTCCCGATATTATTGATCTCCAGGGTGGTCGCCCCGTCGTCGACTTTAGACTCTAGGCATGCCCAGTGCGAATTCTCACCTTTTATTGGGTTTTGGCCCGACCCAAGAATCCAACAGGCACGCTGGCAATCGCCCCCACAAAATATACTACATAATATTACATAATAATAATATACTTCTGTTCTTTTGGGTGTTTACCGGAAAGTGCTGCCACCCTGTGTGTGTCAATGCTACTGAGGCAGCGGCGAAGTCGAAGTCCGAGAGCTAGGTCTCGGCCACGCCCGAGCAGTGTGCCTCTATTCCATTGGTCGAGTTTCCTACCTTTCTCTATCTTATTCTTACCTGATACAGATGCAGTAATACACGATGCAGTACAATTTGCCGTTTGCAGATTGCTTGTCTTGAGACACTCTTGCGACTTCACCTTGTGAAGCGTTGGCAAGGTGTCTAGTGCGGGCATTTCTGCAACCTTGTGCCTCAGTTCAGATGGGGACAACGGGGAGCGGGGACAAGAGACACAGCAACGATCTGCGCAGGGCTTTTCAACGGTATCGAACATTTGTTTCCGTTCTAACATCTTTGAACACTTTTCCACTCTCTGAGGAGTGCCTCGCACATCACCTCCCAGCCGAGACGCGCCATTGGAGCTCCACCACAGGTGGCAACTTTGCTGAACAGCGAGTGAACTAGTGACATCCAGTGACTAGGAAGGTGACTGGCAATATCTAACCGTGACTGACAGCTATTGAAAGATACTAGCTGTGGATAGGATCGTAGATTATTGTGAGATGTTGTGAGATATTGTAAGATGTGGCGATCATTTCCGTGCCCACTTCTGGTCATGCACATGTGCAATCCCTCCAGCAGAAGATACGTTGGGTGAGTTCCAATCTCTCTTTCGTTGGCTCTACTTCTTGACTTGGCGACCCTTACGGCTACAACTGAGAGCCAGAGCCCAAGTAGTGCATGGCAGGATGCCACCGTCCGCACCAGCTTCTCTGCAACGCCTGTCGGGATTCCTGGTCTCCTCCAAAGCCTGTATAGGGATCTATAGGGTGTTTGTGGATCCTGGTAGCCTGTGCAATCCGCGTCTCAGCGGTTTACGTCGGTTTACATCACTGTTTGCATGCCTCACACTGCTGGTGCCACTTGAGACCCACAACTTCGGTGAAGAAGCTTCCCACAAATTCAAGAGTTCTTGTGGAGCACTGTATATAACAGCGCTCTTTTTGTTTTCATTTGTTACATACATATATATATATTTCTGTATCTTACATTTTCGTACAGCACTTGTGACATTTGTTCTCAAGTGATGTCCTGGTTTCTGCCTCGTTCAGGTCGCCTCCCAGCCGAGACGCCCCATTGGTGCCCCACCAGAGGTGCCAACTGCGTTGGACAGTGAGTGAACCAGCGACATCCAGTGACTAGGAAGGTGACTGGCAATATCTAACCCTGACTGAGAGCTATTGAAAGATACTAGCTGTGGATAGGCTCGTAGAATTATTGTGAGATGTTGTGAGATATTGTACGATGTGGCGATCATTTCCGTGGCTGCTTCTGGTGCTGCACATGTGCAATTCCGTCAGCAGAAGATACGTTGGGTGAGTTCCAATCGCTCTTTCGTTGGCTCTAATTCTTGACTTGGCGACCAGCCAGAGCCCAAGTAGTGCATGGCACGATGCAACCGTCCGCA